AAGTCCAAAATATTTGTTTCGATAAAAATAACGATCGTAAGGTCACGTTCTGTGTACTTTTATGTAGTCTTTTTTAAGAATTTAATCTCTTCGGTAACAGAATACCATTTTTATATAATTCTAGCTATAAAATAATAAACATACTATAGATTTTTTTTTAATTTTTTTAAAAGTTGCCCAAAATAAATACAAAATTTGTTTCCTATTATTCAATTAAAATAAATCTTTGATTTTTAAACAATACTCAAAGATCTCTTACTGAAAAAATGTATTACATTTTTTTCTAAGAAAAATATTAACTATTATTTATCCCAATTATTTTTATTTTGTTCTTTTACTTTAATAATACAGCGCAATTCTTGTTTTCTTAGCTTATTTTGCGTTGCTTTCATAAATAGTATAATTACTCCCTGGCTTTTTTTCGTTTACACATTAAAGAAACTGAAAATATATTAATACACGGATAAAAAAAAAAAAAAAGAACCGTAAACATATATATTTGCATATTGAATGCAATATTCCTATTAAATATTTAAAATTAATAAGAAAATATTTTATTTTCTTAAAAAAAAGAAAAAGTTTTCATATTAAAATCTATATTAAACGTTTTTAAAATTAAATGTAATGGTTAAATTAAATATTATCATATTTAAATTTAATAAAAAACAAAGGAAATGTCTTATTGAACCTTGTTTTCTGTGTCCATGTGAATTATCCATTATTATTCTCCCGCCTAATAAAACCCCTAATCCAATATAACCTGCATGTCTTCATTTTCTGTGTCGCCTTCTCTTCCGCCTGCGTGTTCCATGTTTTGCGTTTCCGCTTCCGCTCCACTAACCAACCAGATGCTCTTGAAGCGCGCCAGGGAGGAGGCCTACGTGAAGGGCTCGGCGGGAGTCGGAAATGGCAACGGACCCAAGCGGTCCAGCTTGAGTCCGCCCCTGCAGGCCAAGGTCGCCCCCACGAGCCTGTCCTGCCCGAGCACCCAGACCCTCAAGCCATCGCCGGCCAGCAAGATCGTGGTGAACTCGTTCCACGGCAGCAGCATGCTGAGTGCCCAGCAGCAGCAGGAGGAGAAGAGCAGGCTGCTCACCCAGAACGGGCTGACCAAGTCGGCGGTCAGCGCCTTGGAGACGAGTCTCTACGCCTCCCTGTACGCCCATGCGCCCCAAAATAGTCAGCAGCCGTTTCACAGCCAGCGTATTTCCGCCGGCGATCACAGCTCGCCGTATGTGGGCGTGTCCCTGAACAAGGGAGCTGGACATGATCACGACCGAAGGCATGAGGATGACCCGTGTGCAGGTGAGAAATTATTTAGAGAAAATCCTACATTACTCAGACATCATTTGTTAATCTGGAGTTCACTAATATCTGCGCGAATTCTTCAGAACCTCATAGAAAAACCTACACAATTTAGAGAAAACTTACTTTCTCCGCCAATTCTTCAGAATCGCAAAGAAAAACTTATATAAATTAGAGAAAACTTACTTTCTACGCGAATTCTTCAGAATCTCAAAGAAAAAAATCAATATAATTTAGAGAAAAATAATAATAAAAATAATTCTTCAGAACCTCAAAGAAAAACCTATATAATTTAGAGATAACTTACTTTCTCCGCGAATTCTTCAGAATCTCAATGAAAAACTCACGTAATTCAGAGAAAATTTAATAATCTTCTCCACTTTATCAGCCATCGACGACATCAACAACTACGACGATTCGGACTCGGAGGAGGAGTACACGGGCACGCCATTCTTTCTGGAGGAGGACAACACGGAGACGCGCCAGAGCAAGCACACTCGCCTGCTGCCGGAAAAGACGCCGTCGAAGGAATCGGTGGCCACCACGGAATCCGAGGCGTCGGTCTACTTCCGTCCGGATGCGATCCTCACGCCCAGTTTATTTCCGAATGTTCCGCCGTACCTGAACTTCACCTCGCATGCGGACAAGGGTCCTTCGATGCCGGCTGCCCTGCATCGAGTGCTCAAATGGAAGCTCAGTCCCGTGATGCCCAAGATAGTCAAGCGGGTGGTGCTCAATTCGGGCTTCCGGATTATCAAGAGTGAGTGATACTAGTTAACAACTGTGGAACCTATCTAATCTTTTATTTCCCCTTGCAGACACCACCGACTGGATGGCCGTGTGGGAGAAGCACATGAAGAGCCCTGGGTTTAGGACCATTCGATCGCACCAAAAGTACAACCACATACCCGGATCGTTTCGAATCGGACGCAAAGACACCATGTGGCGCAGCATCTATAATAATATGAAGAAATTCGGCAAGAAGGAGTTCGGCTTTATGCAAAAGTGAGCAAAGGGAGGATGGAAAAATCATTGAGAAGGGGGAATTTTAAATAATTTAATTTAATTTATTTAATCTTTTTATTTTTAAATTATTTAAACAATTTTTCTCACGTTCTTATGTATTAATAGGTAACATCAAATTTTCGTAATGTCTTAATTACTATTATTATCATTTTTATTTTTTTTTTGTTTTATTATTATTATTTTATTTTTTTTATTATTTTGTTATATTTTATACTTATGTCTTCTGTGATTTTAAGATATCTGTAACTTTATTATAAAATTGATAAAAAGTTTTTTTATTTAAATACTAGAAAAACTAGAAATGATGCTTTATTAGAATATCTTAGTTAAAATTGTAATTTAAATTACGTGATATTTTAAGTTATAAAAAAAATTTTTTATTGATAATAAGTTAGATTTAAATACCATTCAAACTAAAAATGTGATATATTAGAATATCTTACTTTAGATTTTAGAACCCCCAAATTAAGTAATATTTTAAGTGATAAAAAATGTATTTTTCATAGGTAGTACCTCCTGATTTTAATGTATCTAATAATTTTATTAATTCCCAACAGATCCTACATAATGCCTGATGACCTGGAGAGTCTGCGCCAGGTGTGGCCCAAGAACGCCTCGAAGCTGACGAAGTGGATTGTGAAGCCGCCGGCGAGTGCCCGCGGAACGGGCATAAGGATTGTGAACAAGTGGAGTCAGTTTCCCAAGGATCGTCCTCTGGTGGTGCAAAAGTGGGTATAAAAATCCCCTCTATTAATACATCCTCTCAAGGAATTTCTCCTACAGATACATTGAACGCCCACTGCTCATCAACGACAACAAGTTCGATATGCGCATCTACGTGGTGCTGACCTCGATCAATCCGCTCCGCATCTACATGTACAAGGATGGCCTGGCGCGTTTCGCGTCCGTGAAGTACAGCTCGGAGCTGAGCAATCTCGACGAGCGCTGCATGCACCTGACTAACTACAGCATCAACAAGTTCTCGCAGAACTACGCGAAGAACGAGGACTTCAATGCCGCCCAGGGTCACAAGTGGACCCTCCAGTCGCTGTGGTCCTGCCTGGAGAATCGTGGGGTGAACACCAAGCGCCTGTGGGCCACCCTCCGGAATCTGGTGATCAAGGGCATCGTGAGTGGGGAGTCGGGATTGAATCGCATGTACCGGCAGAATGTGAATTTCCGCTACAATTGCTTCGAGCTCTTCGGCTTCGATGTGCTGCTGGATGAGAATCTGGTGCCGTGGCTGCTGGAGATTAATATATCGCCTTCGTTGCACTCCGAACTGCCGCTGGATCTGCACGTAAAGGGTCCATTGATCCAGTCGGTGCTGAATACGGCCCTCTACCAGGTGCCGCCGAAGCTCAACGAGCGCCAGCAGGCGGAGATCCTGGAGGAGCTGCACCTAACCGGTCCACTGTGCCACGACAAGCGCATCTTCACCACCTGCCTGACGGCGGAGGAGGTGCGCAAGCACAACCAGTACACCAACCGGAGCATCGAGTTCCGGGAGGAGTATGTGGACACCATACTCGATAATCTGCTGCCGGATGATATCCGCTGTTTGATCATCGCCGAGGATGAGCTGGCCCGTTGCCAGCCGCTGGAGAGGATCTTTCCCACCGCTGGGACCCATGTGTATCTGCGGTATGTGGAGAATGCCCGGTACTACAATCGCCTGCTGGACGCCTGGGAGACGAAGTACGCGAAGAACAGGGAGATGGGCATTGCCCTGCTGTCGCGCTATTGCCGGGATAAGTACCATCTGCAGGTCTCGGACGCCGCCATGGAGAAGGTGAACGATCGATATCGCTTCTGTAGCCCCTTTTCAAGTCATATTTCTTATCTAGGAACCAAATGTGGCACTTACCGAGATCGATATGCTGCACGTGCGCAAGGATGAGGTCCTGGACGGCGGCGCCGCCACGCTGGCCACCAGCAACGGTGAGGTGGTGGTGCCGGGTGCGGATGCCTGCATCGAGATCAAGTCCTGATCATCCCCACTTCCATTTCCGTTTCCGTTTCCGCCCGTTCAAACTCACCCGGGAATTGTCGCCACCCAATAAAGCTACTTAACTCCGATCGTCCACGCTGATTACATATATCCTGGTTAGTCGAAGGGAGCTCATCTTGTCTTATGCCATTACTATTTAAGTTCTTCAATGTGGAACATAGAAAAATTGAGAATGAATAAAGAAAATGCACCATTTTTTGGTGTGATAGTTGTAAAATTATAACACGTTTTAGTTGTTTAAATCGGAGGACTAACGATTTAGTTTATTCTAATGGGGTTTTGGTTTTTTTAACGGTTTAAATTTAATTAGTTTTTTTATCTATTTGGGAAAAAATATTTAATTTTTGCGCCTTCTATTTAGAAAATGGCAATTTAAGTTGAAAACATTTATTTAAACCTTTTTAAATTAGGCGGGCTGTTGCCAATTCGATTGGCACAGCAACGTGCAATCGATAGTTAGTGGCGCCATCATCGGGAGCTATCGCACTATCGCCCATATAATATTTTATATAATTATAATTATTAATATTATTATTAATATAATTATATTAATCTTAGTTAATTAGTTAGTTAGTTATATTAATTAAATTCATATCGATTTAATATCGATTAGCTTCTCGTGGACCACCTGATATCGAATAGACTGTGCGGAGGGGGGTGGGGTGGCATTTCAGCAACAAAAACACAACACAACACATTTCTGTTATTAAAAATTCAAAGATTAAACTAAAAACTAAATTAAGGACCATGGCGTGGACAGAATTATAAAACCAGAGGCATAGCAACCGACTGGGATCGGAATAAACGGGCTGGATAATTCAGGAATTGGAAAAACAACATTGAGCGAAAAAAGAAGTCTCCAATTGATTTTTCGCTAAGTATCAGGCTATTTTAAAAGAGGAGTCAGAAGTGCTGGAATTTTTGGCCAGCTTATCAGCAAAATGAGTGGTAAGAACCGACTTGCTTATAAAGTGAGGGGATTTTAATTCATTGTAGAATTAAGTGAGCATCGTATATGGGAATCGTATGGCGGGGACTGTATGGGAATTTGCAGTCTACTTTTTGGGGAGTGGGGTCCGCTTTGGGTCAAGGGGGCTGTGGGGGGTTAAGGGTCCTGGCAGAAAAGGACGCACCTGCGCCCTAACCTCCTCTCCACCCTGCAAAGAAGTCCTGCCTCCCGATGAAGTCATCAATTTTGTAACATTGTATATACAGTGGAACGTCTATTATGTGATACTTTTCCTATTAGAAACCTCTAATAGATGGAAATTTTGTATATATTTTTGTTTTCTACAAAGACAACCTGTACTTTTCCAGATGTTTTTTCAATTCCACAAGGAACTTAGATCCTCGAAAAGTTATTTCAAAATTAATTTCAAAAAGACAATCTAAATGGGTTGCAATTAGCAAATTTTTAGTTGTAATTGTACAGGTAAACGGTTTTTATTTATATTTCCTTTGTTAAAATATTTACATACCCCAAAATATTTAAACAATGTACGACGAATTTAAATGCTTGTTAGAAATATTTATTTAATATTGCAGTTTTTAATCTTTACGTTACATTTAAACTGTATTGTCTAATTGGCAAATAACAGCTCTACCATATGAGCACGGGTTATAATACATCCACATGTTTTGCATGCAAACGCAGTCCTTTCCGCTTAAATTGTTATCAACTTTACCCCAATATAAAAATTTAACTGGCTTTCCGGAGGCTACCGAAACAAACTTGCCCGTTGTTTCTAGTTTGTTGATACCTAGCCAGTAAGGGGTATCTTCTAACAATTTATCTTTTATAGCGCTTAACTCTTCGTCATTTTGGATGGCCGCCAAGTAACCTCCCTTACTACGACAAAAGTCTCGTGCTTGACTCCAAGTTTTTTTAACATCATGACCGATGTAAAAGTATCTTGATCTAATTTTTTCAAATTTGCCAATAATTTCCAGAACTTTCTCAAATCTTTCCTGGCTTTTCTTTTGAATTCTATCTAGCTTGTCTTTGGTTTCGCTTCGAATAGTACTAATAAGTGCCTGGGTTTCTTTAAGGGTTGCAGACTGAATGGTAATTTGTTGATTGAAGTTGGCGATGTCATCGATTAAAGGGTTTAGAGCTGCAAGGCAGAATGCTCCACATTGGGATGGGGCATCAGTAAGCATACATTCTCCTTCTTTCTGATTTATTTTCACATTTGACCGTGTTTCTCCCACAATTTTGTCCAGCTTCTCAAGAATTTGTATTTGAGTGGTCTCCATCAGCGCCAGTTTTCCATGTAGATTGCCGTCTTGAATGCTCATCTGGTGCCGAAGCTCTGAGATTGGATTGCTATGAATTGACTTCATATAATCCTGAGATTTAACAATCCCGGAAAAACTGCAGACGGCAAAGGCGTAAAAAATATAATTCCCGTCTCTGAACATTTTGATAGAGTAGAACTGGTAAAGACGAAAGTTGCGGAAGAACTGATTGCAAATATATTTGCCGACTTTCAAAGAGCCCCACATATGTGTGGGTATAATAAATGAATAAGTTATCTGGGGTATGTTATAATCATGCATTTTGCAAAAAATATATTTTTTTTTAGACATTCTGAGAATTTTATGGTTTTGGTTTGCTTTGATAAGCCCCTCGCGTCTTGAAAACTATAGACTATATGAAGCCACAAGCTAAGTTCAGACTATCAAATTTTGTAGGATAAATTAAGTATATGCAAAATGGAAACGAAAAATGTAATTTTGACAAAATAATTAATGTACGAATATCAAAAGATTTCATTAAAAGAAGAAAGTTTTTTTGTAATGCCCATAATTAAATAATGGTAATTTTTAAATACTTATGTATTTATTTATTCTCTGTTTAAGGGGTAATTACAAATTGAATGTAACCTTTGAATTATTGATATACTGAAAACTTATAAATGTTTTTTGCTACCCCCGAAACAGGCGACGAAAGTGGCGAGGAGAAGCACATCCTGAACTTGTCCAAGCAGAAGCTGAAGAAGGTGCCCAAGCAGGACGATGCGCACAGCATCCGGCAGCTCATCCTGGATGAGAACGAGCTGCAGAAGATCGACAACATAGACTCGTACCTCAAGATTGAAACGGTGATTAGCTGAAAGTTGCCAGAAGTCAATAAAATATTTTAAACCCTGTTTTTACAGCTCTCCCTGGCGAGGAACCAATTGCTGCGGATGTATGGCGTCTGCCGGCTGCACTGCCTCCGCGAACTGAACCTCTCCTTCAATGGCATTCTGTCCATCGAGGGCCTGAAGGAGTGCCTCCATTTGCGGGTCCTGAATTTGGAGGGGAACAACATCAAGACCATCGAGCACCTGAACACGAACGTTAATTTGGAATCGCTGAATCTGGCCGAGAACAGCATCGGCAGCATTTCGGATGTCTCCTATTTGCGCAATCTGAAGGAGCTCTATTTGCACGGAAATCGGCTGACGCACCTGAGACAGTGCGATAAGTATTTGCCCACCTCTCTGGAAACCCTAACGCTGGCCAAGAATGGCATCAACGATCTCAACGAGATCTGCACGCTGTCGCATCTGAGTGGCCTGCTGAGCATTTCCATCACGGACAATCCCTGTGTGAACATGACCAACAGCTTGGAGTGAGTTGGCTTGGATAGTTCCCTTTACAAGATATTAACTAGAATTATTTTGTTTCTTTTTGTTTTATATGAATTAATTAATTAGAATTTTGAGTTTAATAGAATTGAATGAAATTGAATTTTGAGTTTAATAGAATTGAATGAATGAATGCCATGAATTCCGAAATAATTCAAACGTCAATTTCTTTTGAAGAAGAAAGGGCCATCGTTTTGTGATTAAATCTGTCTGTATTTTATTTACTAAGCAGTTAACATTGATTTGTAAAGAATTTTTCACTTTTTGTTCTCAAATTTAAAAAATTTATAAAAATGATTCATTCATTCACACAGTCACATAGAATTGAATTAAACAAATCCGAAATTTCATGGCATACTATGATAAAACAAAAATTGAATGATTCACGCAGGGCTCTGATATTAACCTTTTTTTAATTCCAGTGGCTTTGACTACCGACCTTTTGTCTTGAACTGGTGCATGAGCCTGAAGTACATCGATGGCTATGTGGTGGATCCCATCGAGAGCCTCAAGGCCGAGTGGCTGTACAGCCAGGGACGTGGTCGCCAGTTTCGCGTGGGCGAGCAGTCGGGCCTGGCCAAATATCTGAGCTCCATGTGCCCGCTGGTGGGGAAGGCGCTGGAGAATGAAAACGATAGGAAACTGCGCTTGATCCTCAGCAAGGCGCAGCATCATCAGCGGCAGTTGCAGGAGGAGATCTTGGACAATGCCAATAGCTCGGCCAGCACTTCGCCCTCTTCGCATCGCAAGAAGCCCACGAGTCGCATTCAGTCGCCGCGATGTGAGTTCTTAAATTTCTATTAACAAAAATATACATAATATTTAATTTAAATTCCCCTATTTACAGTCTCCCGTTTGAGTGGCCGCCAGGGTTCTCCAGAGTCCATGGCGAATAGCTATCACGGGAACAGCAGCAGCAACAACAGCATCGTCAGCGACAATGGTTCGGCGAATCACTCGCTGCAGATGAGCATCTCGCTGATCGAGAACATCAAGAACGATGGCGAGGGCTTCTCGCTGGCGGGCAGCGGAATGTCCAGCAGCGTGACCACCAAGACCTACAACTCCACGGAGTCCACGCCCAGGAATATAACACCAAATCCTTACAACGGTGAGAACATTATTAATAGGAATTTAGAGTAAAGATCCTTGAGATCTCGGAAACTACAAGAGCTAGAAGGTTGGGATTAATTACACATGTTCTTGGGCTTCCTACGCAGCGCAAGTTGGTTTCATCCGAGCGCCACTCCCACTCGTTCGCCTACAGTCACTTTAAAACAGCCTGGCGCACACATCTTTACAGATTTTGTAAAAGTTCAAATGGCATTTTTTTGTGCTTATTTTAAAATCGGACAATCTATTAAAAAGTTATCAGCAAAAATGAATTGGCCGCTAGGTGGAGCCAGTAGCTTTGGGGACTGCATATCTTTGCATAGCTAAGTAACGTATCTGATAGCTTATTAATACCTATCGAAATATAGAAAAAAATTTTAAAATCGGACAATCCATTAGAAAGTTATCAGCAAAAATGAATTGGCCGCTAGGTGGAGCCAGTAGCTTTTAGCTAAGTAACGAGTATCTGATAGTCGACTATAGCGTTTTCTCTTCTTTTCCATTATAAATATTCCTAAAACTAATTACCATTATCCCCAGATCAAACGTTCATCAGTCAAACGCCATCGGGAGGCCCATTGGCGGCTGCCTCGAAGATGGTTCCAGTTCCGGAAACCCTGATGAGTCCGGATGTCTGTCCCGCCGCCGTGGCCCAAAGGGTGACGGTCAACGCCCTCAACTCGCAGCTGCACAAAACGAAGGTCAACAAGAACAAAGGTGGCCAGTATTTAATAGTTCATCACTCCAACTAAAACACTTGCCAATTGATAAATGACTTTTTTGCCTGTACAGACAACAAACTGAACTTGCCGCGAGTGCGAAGTCCGCAGCTGAAGAGGAACCAGAGTCCCACGAGCAGTCCACGGAGGATGGCAACCAAGGGCAGCAACGATAAGATGCAGGAGAAGCTGCAGTCATCCGGAGTAATGGTGGATGCCGGTGGCTTTAGCACCGACGACGATGGCGAGCAGATCAATATCGAGAAGCTGAGGGCCATCAGGAAGATGGCGGCCCAGAAGCAGCAGCAGATTAACCAGCAGGAGCAACTGAAGCAGCAGCAGCAACAGGTGGAGAACAACAGCCTGAACTGCGAGGATCGGCTGATCGAGCACGTGACCGAGTCCTCGGCGGTGACCATTCAAAAAATGTGGCGGGGCTATCATACGCGCAAGAAGACCAACAAGGATATAGCCGAGCGATTGCAGCGACGACGCACACAGGAGTATATCGAGTGGGTTTAACTAGGATAAAAATCCGTTCAAGTTTTCTAATGGTTTCTCTATATCCTTACCCAGACAACTCGGCAAGGACATGCTGTTGACCAAGGCGCAGCTCGAGAACGAGCGGAAGATCCAGCAGCTGCAGATGCAGGCCATCAATGCGCTGTGGAAGAAGGTGTCCACCATGGAGGTGGATCCCAAGGGAATTCCGGCGGGTGCGGAGCAGTCAGAGGACGCCAATGGCTCTGGCCACTTGAGCCTGGATCAGAATTCCGCCGCCGTGGTCAATGATTTGGCCAAACGGTGCACCATGCTCACCGATCAGGTTCAAATGCTGCAGAGCTCGATTGGAACGATTGTCAATTGCCTGACGATGGTGTGCAATCTGCCGCAGGACGCCATCAAGAAACAGGCCGAGATCATCGATTGCAGCTCCACTCAGACGGACTTGATAGCCGTGCACACGCCACAAATCGAGGACCTCACCAATTTCCCCTTCACCAAAACCAGACCTTCGACTTTGGCCTTGGAATCGAAGCACGAAACGCTGGCTTGTCCCAAAATCGATGAGCTGATGAGCGATGTCGATGGTCTCAAGGAGAACCAAGACGAAGCATGAAAAATCCCAGTTAATAAATGAGGAGTTTAAACGCTTTAAGGATCGATCTCAGCGCTTATTAATTCCTCCCGTAGGCATTTGTGTAGCTTTTGCAACAATTTTTAGATCGGTTAGAAGAACTTAACAGTAGCAGCAGCATTCCACAAACACACAATTTTTTGTTACATTCCTGAGAAGTAGTGATGGTGAGAGACTAAACAGAAAACCTATGAGAAAAATACAAATTTTTGTAAAACACAAAAGCTTATCTTGGATTTTTATAGTTATATTTTCGAAGGGTTGGTTGACAAGGATTTCTTAGCGATTGCCATTTAAAAAAGCTTAATTTAGCACCAGCAATAACAAACAGTTTTTGTTTAAATTCTTGAAAAAGTGTTTGACCATTTTTTTTATATGATAATCTTAAATATGTGGTTGAATTTTTGTACTTTAAAGAAGGAATTTCAGTCTTCGTCGCTGGACGTTTCCTCATCTTCCTCTTCGTCGGAGGATTCTTGATTTACAGGACGATTGGTATTCGGCAGGAGATCATCTTCGAAATCGGAATCGTCTTGGTTTTGGCTTGACAATTCCTCCTGGGCAGGTTTCTTGGTAAACTTGTCCGGCCAAATGCCAGCTTTTGTGTATTCTTTCACATGTTCAGGGGTGAGTATCTTGCAGATTTCGGCTTTCACTTTGTCGCCCTCTTCAATTGGTTCGATCAGCAGGAAGTCGCCCCTTTTCACCCACATGCTCTTGCGGAATTTGTTGGGCATGGAAACTGGAAAAGTAAAAAGAAGAGTTCAAAGCAGAAGGTTTTTAAAAATTTCGTAAGGATTATAACTATTATATTTATTCTCAATTAATAAGGTGGTATATAAGTCGATATAGGACGGATTGGATTTCAGATATCCCATGGGAACAATCGGCTAAAAACGTGACAAAATTCGATGTTTTTTGACATATATATGATATGTATGTAGGTGCCATGGCAACGATCTGCAGTATTTTTGAGTTCACCTTTAATTAATCTTGGTAAAAACCCGTAACAGTTGCGTTTAGATGTGAATCTCTGAGAGACTCCCCCAAAATTCTTATCAAATAATAACAGTGCAGTCACAGTGTCACAGCGTCATTGGGTTATCAAATATAGCACAATTCAAATGATAAGATGCCTATAAAAGCCGGGCTCTAAATCCCAAAAATCCCTAGTCTTCTTGTCCGCATTTTCTGCTTACTGCAACGAAAATGTTTAAGCTGGCAATCATTCTGCTCTTCGGAATAATTGCTGGGGATCGTCATAGATCTCTGGCTGGAATACCGAAAAGTGAGAGTCCTGTGAGTCAAACGGAGGACTCGGAGACCCAGTCGCGCTGTAACGGATATTGCTTCATTACCATGAGATCAATGATGGATTTCGTTGCTGCCAACCAGGATCAGTGGAACACCTGTAAGGCGGTCATAGCGAACGACACTCGGGCGGACCAGAACCAGATGAAAGTACAACTAGCAGATCTGCAGGAGTCGGTAAATCACCTAGAAATCCAATTGGCAGCCATTAGGGAGATCCTGACAAGCAGTAAAGCATCACCGGAGTCAAGGACCGTGACAACGGAGAAAATTCCACCGCCGAAGTTTGAGCTGATAGGCTCTAGATATTTCTATATTGAACGTAATATTACGACAGATTGGTTTGCTGCAGGAAACAAATGCCGTGAGATGGGTGGCCATCTGGCGACCTTTAAAGACGAAGAGGAGATGCTTTTAATCAAAGCTAAAATATCGTTATCTTCGTACTACTGGCTGGGAATTAACTGTCTGCATAAGAAGTACGACCACGTGTCCTTGGCTTCAGGCAAGTCAGCTGTCTTTTTCAATTGGAATCCGAGTGAACCGAGCATCACTGATAATGACCAAAGGTGCGTTTTCTTAAATAATGCCTTTGAAATGGTTTATATCGAATGTAACAGAAATTATTATTTCATTTGCCAAGCAGATGATGAATTTTAAAAATAATTAAATACAAAATTTCGAATTATACCTACATGTTAAATTCTATAGAAATTTTCAAACTCTCGGGAGATAATAAAATAAATAAAATAAAATAAGAATAAAATTCTTTGCAATTATTATATATATTTGATTCACCTTGCGATAGTAAAATTCGTTTTATATGTCAAGCTGATGTTAACACTTCAAAAGGAAGAGATCAAACAGTGTCAAACATGTAATGCCAAAATTAAAGTAATATCCGTTGGAATATAAATAAAGAACCATGTTGCTTAAATGAGCAATAATATAAATGATAAGAGTAAACATCAATTCTTCCTTACTTAAAAATGTGAACCTCAGAGATATTGCATATTGCTTCTTATCACTCAAATTAAAAGCCTGGCAACATAATATGTATTAGCATTAACATTGTCATTGTGTTATCAAATAAAACACAACATAAATACATACATATGGCAAAGGTTCTAAAGCAACGTAAGTATGTGACTCATTTATTTTTGATAACGTGCGTTTATAAGCCGCTTCGGAGCCCCAAATCTTCACATTTGTATTTAGAAAACACCACGAAAATGTCTAAGCTGGCAGTCATTCTGCTCTGTGCTTTTATTGCTGGGGATCTACATAGATCGCAGGCAGGAATACCGGAAAGTGCGAGTCCTGTGAGTCTATCGGAGGACTTGGAGAGCCGCTGTAATGGGCACTGGTTTTCTAGGATGAGGTCTGTGATGGACTACATTGCTGCCAACCAGGATCAACTGAACACCTGTAAGGCGATTATAGCGAACGAAACCCGAGCGGAAGAAAGCCAAGTGAAAATTCAGCTGTCTGGATTGCAGGAATCCGTAACCACGTTGCAGACTCAGCAGCAGGTCAACTCCAAGGACTTTGAGGAACGACTGGGCAACCTGGACAGCCAATTGGCCGCCATCAAGGAAATCCTGACAAATAATAAACCAACAGTGACAACGGAGAAAATTCGATCGCCAAAGTTCGAGCTGATAGGCTCCAGATATTTCTATATCGAGACGAGTTATAAGCTCAATTGGCATGGTGCAGCCAACCAATGTCGTCAAATGGGTGGCCATCTGGCCACGTTTAAGGACGAAGAGGAACTGATTTTGGTGCAATCAAGAAAATCCTTATCTAATCCCATCTGGCTGGGAATCAACTGTCTGTCTCAGAGGCACGATCACGTGTCCTTGGCTTCTGGCAAGCATGCTTCCTTTTTAAACTGGGCACTGGATGAACCCGATGCCAGAGGAGATGATATAAGGTGCGTTGCCCTAAATTGGAAATTTGCAATGTACTATTACTATTGCAACGATATGAAGAACTTCATTTGCCAAGCAGATGATGAATTTTAAAATTAAATAAATGTTCAATTTTTGATTTTAATTTCATGGAAATTAGCGGAAATCTTTTAGACGCCTTTAATTTAGCATTTCTTGTACATCTCTCAAAGAATTCCGAAATATTACGGGATTTATATGATATGATTCTTAGTCTCAGCTCAACGTAATAAAAGCATTGATCTGATAAGTGTAGAAAGCAGCTGACAATACATTTACTGTAGCGTTGTCGTGAATCTCTAAGAGACTTCAGTATCAGTTCCTATCAACATTCATCCTTATCAAATCGAAAGCTTACAAAGGTTAGAAGAGGTTCGGTTCATACTTATAAATACGACTTATATATATGTCGAATATGATAAGATCCCTATAAAACCCAGGCTTTGAGACCCGAGACTTCAGTGGCCTTCTCAAGCTCATCTAATTCGCATTTACGGTCCAAAAGATAAGTCGAGAATGTTTAAGCTGACAGTCGTAGTGTTCATTGCACTTCTTGCTGGTGATCGCAACAGATCTCTGGCTGGAATATCGAAAAGTTGGAGTCCTGGCAGTCAATCGGAGGATGTGGAGTCGCGCTGTAACGGATATTGCTTCTCTACCATGAGATCAATGATGGATTTCGTTGCTGCCAACCAGGATCAGTGGAACACCTGTAAGGCGATCATAGCGAACGACACTCGGGCGGACCAGAACCAGATGAAAGTACAACTAGCAGATCTGCAGGCGTCGGTAAATCACCTAGAAATCCAATTGGCAGCCATTAGGGAGATCCTGACAAGCAGTAAAGCATCACCGGAGTCAAGGACCGTGACAACGGAGAAAATGCCGCCGCCGAAGTTTGAGCTGATAGGCTCTAGATATTTCTATATTGAACGAAATATTACGACAAATTGGTATGCTGCAGGAAACAAATGCCGTGAGATGGGTGGCCATCTGGCTGCCTTTAAAGACGAAGAGGAGATGCTTTTAATCAAAGCTAAAAAATCGTTATCTTCGTACTACTGGCTGGGAATTAACTGCCTGTCTCAGAAGTACGACCACGTGTCCCTGGCTTCAGGCAAGTCAGTTGTCTTTTTCAATTGGAAACCGAGTGAACCGAGCATCTCTGATAATGACGAAAGGTGCGTTGCCTTAGATTATGACTTTAGAATGTATTATGTCAAATGTACCTATGATAAATACTTCATTTGCCAAGCAGATGATGAATTTTAAAAAAATAAATGAATAATCACATAAATAAACCCCCTTGAAAATAAACAAAAAATAAGCACAAAAAAATGGCATTTATACTTTTCAAAAATCTTTAAAGATGTGGGCGCCAGACACCTTTTAAAATCGTTAGTGGGCGGTTGTGGGCGTTAGAGGGGGCGTGGCGCTCGGCTGAAATAAACTTGCGCTGCGTAGAAAGCCCAAGAATATGTGTGGGAAATCCCAACTTTCTAGCTTTTGTAGTTTCCGAGATCTCAGCGTTTTACTCTAAGAGTAACGGATATAAAAAAAACTTGACACCGGATTTTAGACCCAAACAAAGTAGTTTTCCCTCTAATTCTCCCGCTCTCACCTAGGAAGTTTTCCTCCTCCACCTTGGCCGTTTCCACCTCGTGGAGATTGTTTCCCCGGCTGCTGATGACCCTCGCGATCTGCTGGTTCTCCGTGGGCAGTGCGTAGTCGTCCTCCATCATCTCCTTCATCAGGTGCTTGCGGCGACTAATGCTCGGGTGGGATCGGTGCATTATAGTTATATTATTAATTGAGTTAAAACGCAAATTTACGAAATTAAATTGTTGAATTTTTTGTTTGTTATTGTGGACAATCAGCTGTTTTGTTAATCGATTTCAGAATACTGGAACTGTGAAACATATACCAAAAATATACCAAATGCTCACGAAGAAATCGATGAAAACATTTATTCAATCGATAGTTGCCAGTGCTGGAAAACTGGGCGCGTGTTTTTAAATTGGAAACCACCAAAGTTGTAAAAATATTTGAAATTATATTTATTTATAATACAATATGTATTATATTTATATTTAATTGTAAAACTAAAATCCCACCTCCGATTTTATTTAAATTAAAGAAGTTAGCAAACTTGAGTAAAAGTACGATCACAATAGCAAGATGACATTTTATTTTTAGAGCCACGCCTGCGTTTAAAGTTTTTATACAATTTTGTAACTTAACAATTAGTGGAGAATGAATCCAAGTAACGAGAATTTTTCTTAGCAATAGTGTAATAATAAAAAGCAACTAGAAATAAAAAATATAATGCTATCGCGTTGCTTAGAGCCTACGTTAACTAACTAGTTTTTGCCGCGCCTCAAAAGCATGCGCTCCTTGAGAGAAATCCGTCCGGACTTTTCCACCTTGGTGGAGACGTTGCGACGGGACTCTATTTGGGCCTGCTTCGATTTCTTCATCCTGTGAAGGGTAAAGATAGTTAATAACTTGTTTAAAAGGTGTTTTTTAGATTTACTCACAATTCGTTCAAGAGACTGGTGACCTCCTTCTTCCAAATGTCCTTGAAATCATTGGTGAAATTTGTCCAGTACTCGAAAAACTGATCGGGTGTACACTGGGCCAACGTTAAAGAGCGGGCCTTGGGCGAAAAGTGATAGAATCGCATTGTCTCCAGGAACAACTCGCGACACTCGTCGAGCGACTGGTGGAGCTTCGCCATCGATTTGTCCGCCCCCTCCATGAACTCCTCCATTTTGGACTTGAAGGGCTCCATGATTTCCGGACGGGAAGCGGCCAGAACCTTGGCGGTGGTCCTTTTGCAACCTGAAAAATGAAGGGAAGATTAAAAAAAAAATAGTAATATAACTTTTATTTTTATTTTCCAATAAAATTTAACTATAAAATATTAAAAAAATTTTTTTGATGACTGTTATATAAAATTATTTTACGAATTTATGTGATTTTTTTAGATTTTTATGTCAATTTGTTCAGGGTTAATTTTGCTACTGATCATTTTTTATAGGGTCTATTATATTAGTCTAGTCGGCAGGATACAAATTCATTATAATTTACGATGAGAGTACGATGGTCTATGTTTATTTTTATTACATACTTTTAGAGAAGTCTAAATATTATTTTCCTAATATTTATAAACTAATTGTCTATTAAAGGGAGATGGAAATATGAAGTCATTAAAGCTACTCGCGCCATCTAGCGACTGTTTCAATTTTTGCTCATAACTTTTTAATGAATGGTCCGATTTAATAAATTTCTTCCACATCTTGATAGGTATTTTTAAACACAACAAAAATGCATTTGTATTCTACGAGTAACGGGTATAAAAATACTGCTTATTCTCATCTTAACTCACCCAAAAACTTCTTGTTGAGATCGAAGATCTGCTGCTGCACCTCCTCGAAATCCATTTGGGCGGCTCTCTCCACATCCGCCGGTTCTGGGATGGGCAATCGGATCTCCAGGGGATGCACTCCCTCCTTCCGCCGCTGCGCAATATAGGTGCGAACGATGAAGTGCAGCAGGGTGGTGTGCGATTCCTTGGACTTGACATCCTTCAGCTTGCCCAGAATATCCAGATTGAAGCCATCGGCCTGTCCGCGCTGTCGATTGCCCCCGTTCATATAGTTGCCCAGCGTTAGGATTATCGAGAAGACCAGCTTCAGATCCTCACTTTCGATCAGCTGCTGTGAAAGTTGCGATACTGTCTCCAATTTTCGAACTAACAGCGTGACGGACTCCTCGAATTCCGCCTGGAAGACAATGCACGAGATTCTCTCGCTGGCCATGGAAATCAAGGATATATCGAGGAGGAACTGCTCGGGATGATCGAGGGGTATTTCGCCGCCAGCTGCCTCCCTAATCCGCTGCAGTTCATCCTCCGACGCCTGGATGTTGCTCATGTGCTGCAGGGCCTCCAAACTGACCACCGATGTGTCTATATGGTAGATGGCATGCTCGATTTCGCTGGACGGGACATGCAGGCTCCTCCAGATAATCCCCACATTTCGGGATCTCTCAGGATCCAAAACTTTGATCGATTTCGCCCTCTTGACCTTCAGTTCCTTGGGTTTGCTAACGGGTGCCATTGCTTGGCGGGAAAATAGCTCCGTAAACTCATCGATATTATCGAGAGGTGTCTCCTCGATCTCCGTCCAGATTTCCTTGGTGGGCGGTGGGGCAGCTGTGGGCGTGGCCTCTCCTCCTCCGCTAGAAGCCGGCGGTTCGTCCGGTGAACTGCCACTGTTTTCCGTACTATCCGTGGAATTTGCTACTGAGGGGGGGCGTGGCGCAGGCGGGGCGGCACTCGTCACGATCCGCGTCCAATATAAAGGACGCATCGGCTTCGGCGGGTTAACGGCGCTCTTGCGCATCGCTGGAAATAAGATGGTGATCGATTAGCCTTTTAATCGATAATATTGATAAATTAATTTATATTTAAAACTGCAGCAATTTAAAATAATTTTGAATAACTATTTTAACACTTAAACTTTAGAATAAATGTATTTTAATTTTTTTTACATAAGTTTTTAATTTTTACTGCTTCGCCTTTTTTATATTGTGTAAGATTAAATAATTTTATATAATATTTTAATATTTTATATTTATAAAATTCAAAATATGGAAATATTTCCTATAAAGATTTTTGAAAATGTATATTGAAAAGTTAATATCTTTTTTTTTGTATTTAATGATAAATTTGTATATTTATTTTGAAAATAAACTGATCCTTATATAAAATTCTATTTAAAATAATCGTAATATTTTTCTTAATACTTACTATTTGTGCGATGGAACCAATTGCCTTCGGCGGGATCGGGAAGCGGTGCGGGTGAGATCGGCGTCTTTGAGGGGGATGCACTCATGGGCGGTGGTGGAGGAGGTATTGCCCCGCCCACTTCCAAGGGCGCGGGTGGAGGCGGGGGCGGGGCATTGCCACTGCCGGGTGGAGGGGGTGGCGGCGGAGGTGGTGCTCCATAATTGGCCAAAGGAGGAGGAGGCGGAGGAGGCGGTGGTGGAGGAGCAGTAGTAGAAGCAGGGATTCCAAAAGCAGGTGGCGGCGGAGGAGGCGGTGGAGGAGGTGGAGGTGGTCCCTGTGACTTTTCCTTATTTTCCTCAATTTCCTGTGGATTTTCCTTCGAGGTTTGCCCGCATTTGCAGGCACCTTCGCAATCCTCCTCTTCCGTTTGAGTTTCCACATCCGCGAAACTCTTCAAACCCGCCGCCTCCAATCCCGATTTATTGTATTCATAAACTGTAGCCTCACTGGCATTAAGCAGATCGGTGAGATTCACACATCTCTTCGAGGGACGTCGCGGTGGCTCATCCACACTGCTCAGCAGTTCATTGACCACCGCATGAACCTCGGCCAAAGTGGTGCAGTTCAGCAGACGCTTCTTGAGGATCTGTTGCAGGGTCTTCTGATTGTCCGAGGTTGCCGTGGATGCAGTGGCAATGGTGGCCAGCGATCCACCAATAGCACCTGTGCCCAGGGAAGCCAGGGATGCCGATTCCAACGCTCGAACTCCCGACGGTGTGCTGGAAAATGGCCAAGCCGTCACTCTGTCCAGTTTTCCGGGAGTCAATGGTAAGGATGTAGTCGGCTGCTCCGTGTGCGTCCACTGATACATCTCATACGGCTGGAGATTAAATAAATATCAGAAAATTATAAATATTTATAGATTTAAAATTCATTAATAAAAGATATATCAAAAAGAAATAATAAATAGATACACAATGGCATTAAGTTAGACCCACTGATATTACAATATCTTACTACATTATAGAAAATTATTATAAATATTTTAAAAACTGCTTTTGAAATCCCATACGTCTAAAAACCATTTCTTACTTTAATCTTAATAAATACTTTAAATTTATTATTAATAAATATTAAAAATATCATAAGCAGAATTACTTGGACTATATTACACCACTATACATTTTACATTTTTGAAAATGGTCGCAAAATCATTCCTTTAAAAAGGCATACCAATTGTTATTACTTCCTTTAAAGACAACCAATAACTTCTAATTGCCAGTAGAGTGGGATGGAAAATAAAAGAAAAAGACCGCTTGAGGTGCTGAGAAAAAGAAGGCAAGTGGTCTCCTGTGAGCGACAAGCGAGAAAGCTTAAAAGCACCTAAGTTGGCCTAAGTTCGCTTTGTTTTCTGCAATGCTCTTGTATTTTCTTAGCATGCAAAACTCCTTTGATTTTGATGGTGCATGTCGCCGTTGACTTTTTAGTCCCACTGTGGGAATTGTATTTTCTAGTTGTCAAGTCTTAAAGGAAAAAGGGGAAAATGAAAAAATAATGTAAATTTTATTTAAGTTTTTCTGGTCTAAAATTTAACATTTAAATTACTTAAAAAAAAATCATACTAAAAAGGAGAACCACCTTTTAAATAGCAGTGGACAAAAGTATTACATTCCGTTAAAATGTCACTTTAACGAGTGTCACAAATATGACAAATGCAATTCAAATTGCAATTTAATTATGCCGTTAACAAGTGGTGCTTAAACCGAGACATAGATACATAGTTACATAGATACACACCCACACATTCAGACAGTCAACGCTAATCAGTCAAAGAACTGAGAACTTGACAAATGCAAATCAAGTGCAACATCCTGTCCCGATGGCTGATTTCGTAGATGAGCACACACACACAACCCCATAAGGGGTTTATCCTTATAGAGGGATGGGGAATGGGGGGAACGAGTCAAGTTTATCGCACTTTACACCATTTGTGCCAGCGATTTGCATGTTGTTTGCACATTTTAAAGAACCGAAGCAGCCCGGAGTAACCCAAGAAACCCACAAGTAAGTGGAGTACAACCCAACACTCCCCAAAAACCAAAACCTAAAACCCAAAAAAAAAACTCTAACCATAAGAGACCACATGAAGGTGAGCAAACTAACGAAAAATGCAAAGTGCAATGGTGAAAAAATTTAAAAAGGGTGAAAATTAGCTGACAAAATGCTGCTCTAAATATTTTGTAGGTTTTTTTTAGGGGAATTAAAGTATTTTTCTCGATAAAATTGTTTAAATTTAAAAAATAATATATAAGAGTGATCGTAAAATTTAAAAGATTTACTTTTTGTTTGCCACATAAAATGTTAAAAATGTTTCAATTGTTTGTGGTATTAAATTAATATCTAATCTTTAATAAATGTAGATACAATTTTCACGAGTAACTAAAAATCAGCTACAAATCAAAATGTTTCAAGGGGATTAAACAGAGCAACAACATGGCTTACATATCTTTGATTTCGCCACTTAATATGTGATTATAACACAATTTCAGCCAGTTTTCCAGCTTGGTTGTTTCCCAATTCCCACTTAATTAACAACAACATCATCGAATTCTATTCACTCTAATCCCATCAGCCACTTGAAACAACCCCCCAAAATATATAGATATGTAATGTGTATAGTTAAACAACAATCGAACACGCGTACGCACACACGCAGACTTACAAATAAATAGACACGAACTCTTAGTAGTTCACATTGCACATTCAAATCCAGTTTGCTCATTTCTGCATCAAAGTTTCGTTTGTTCCGGCAGAACCCAAAGAATAATACTCTAGTCGTTGGGGAAGGGAAAAACTTTTCACTACGAGTAATAAAAACGCACAAACTTTCAATGAGCTGCAGCAACAATAACACAAAGAAACAGAAGGGAGTATGGCATCAAGAAAAAATAAGATATAGGGGTACAGTAATACCTGGCTAAATTTTTTTTGAATTTTTAGTATGTGATTACATTTTTTTTTTATATATTTAATTTATATGTTACTCACAATAAATAAACTTTCCCCATTCATTCATTCCCCAATCCAGTTATAAAATAATAAAAATATAATATAAATATAATTATATTCTTAAAAAATCTTGAGAGTTTTGAAATCATTTAAATTTTCGTCTAAAAGCATGCAACAATGTAGTACGTGCCAAAAATTATTTTAATATACACCTCAGCATTTTTAAATATCTATCACCCAAAAATCCGCAAATAGCGAAAAAGTACTGTGCAAATAAAACACCACCTAAAGTCAAAGTCGAACAACGAACCTTTGACACATTGTCTCCCTCTCTTTCGCTCCCTTGTGAGCTGGCCTGTTGCCCAAAAAGTTCGAACAAATTCCAGAGACATCGGAGACGTCGTCAGATATACACGTATATATATATGTATATATATCTAGTTGGCAGCCAGTTGAAGAAATTCGTGATATCATAATCTTGAGCTCAAGTATCATCACATAGAAAATCACTTAACGGTGTCGTCTGCCGCCCCCTCATTCCCCGATTTGCCCCGCCCCCTTTTTTGTTGGCCATACGTATATGTATGTGCTTATGTTTGGGCCTCTCAGGGATTTGAGGTTAAGCTGCTGTGGCTAAAACTTTTGGCCTAAACTAATTTGAGGGCTATATCTAGTGCTTCATTATTTGCGGTGGCTTTTGGTTGTTGTACGTTGTTGGTTGTTGCTTCTTGGTTGTTGGTTGTTCCTTGGTTGTTGTCGTTGTTCCTGCTGTCGCCTGTCTAATAACACTTAACTGGGTCTCGGTTTACAGCCCTCGAAATGTAAATGGGGGTCAGCTTCTTGGGCAATTAAAGCCTTCCGCCTTTTTCCCAAACTGCTTGTTTATTTAGCTTTCTGGTCAAGAGCAGTGCTAAATGCTAAATGGTATATGGTAAATGGTAAATGCCCGGCCAAACTGGCCCCGATGATATAGCCAACTATTAGGGAGTCCATTAGGCCCGGCAGATGAAGATGACCATCGCCAGATGGTTGGGTTTGCCAAAGAGTTGGACAAAGAACAAGTGGATAAAAAGGAAACGGCCATTTTATGCTGGGTGTGATTAAAGGTCTCGGGTTTTGCCATGCACTTGGAAAAAAATTAGTGGTGTCTACATTTTATGAAATTAAATTGTAAACTAAATCAACGCAAACACAGAAATCCCAAGAAATTTAAAATAAGTTATAATGGTGTCTAGAAGTATGCAACAGTATCTTCGGAGAGACAAGGTTTCACTTACTGCATACTTTTAAACACTTTTATAAGTGATTTTAAAGTCTTAGAATTTTTTGTGTAGCACTTTTTTAAGTTTAGTATTTAATTAAACTAGTTATAATTAAATTTATTATCTTTTTAATCTAAATCAAAAAAATTATTAATCCATTTAAATGTACATTTAATTTAAAAAATCAAAATTGGGCTGAGAAAGATTTTAGAATTTTGTCAAAAATAATTTATAATTTTAAGCGCAATAATTTTTTTCAGTGCCCAGTTTTAGTTTCATAATTTCGCATGCAGCAAAACAACAAAATCAACAGCGAAAGCGTAAAATTGTTAATGCTGGCAAAGAGAACTTGGCTTTTGGTAGTTGACGGCTGCCGACTGTAAAGTTTTAACAAGTTCTGACACTTGCAGGCGGCGGGCAACGGGGGGCGGCGGTCAAGGGGGCGTGGCCGGGGTTAGATGGACAACCGCTGTAGCTCGGTCCAAAATGAAAGTGCAACGAAGGCTTGGTCTTCCCTTTTATTTTATATTTTTTCTTTCGTTTCTTTTTTTTTTGCAATGGAATTGCTAATTTCCGGGCACAACTTTGCGGTTCAGTTTTGCACAACTTTTCGCTGCAACTTCGACGAGCGACGGACAACGCTGCGTATGAGTAACATTATGCAGAGCGAGAGGCCATAAGTTGAAGGTCCTGGCGCCCAACAGGCCTCGGGGATTAAATCCGGACCATCCGGGGCACTGGCAAAATTAGCCACGATTAGGCTGTCAAAATTCACAGATTACCAAACTTTAAATTTGACTCAAAGGGGTTCTCTTTTGTATGCTTTTATAAATTATTTATTTAAAATTATTGATGATCCTTCAATGTATGTACAATTCTTTATTCTTTAAAGTTATTATTGCAAGACTATAGAACATTTTTTACTTTGGAAAATTAGTTTTAAAATTCAATTTTTACTGTAAAGGGATATTCTTGCAAACATTTTAGTCCCTTTTTATAGATTACAAAAATATTTTGGAAAAATATTGTCGGATTTTAATCCTTTTTTGATTAATACTATAGTTAGACTTTGTAAAATCCCTTTTCCCCATATATTTTCTAAAATATATTCAGTATTTTCGCCCAGTGCCGAAGCGACAGTCATTATCAATAGTTTTTCCTGGAACGCTAATGACTTGAAAGTTAGTTTAGCTGCCCCGTTAGATCTGCTTCACCCCTGACCCCTATTTTTCACCCTTTTTGCCCCAAACGCAACGCGCTGTCATCATTTCCGGCAAAGCCGTGGCAACTTCCGCCCTGTTAGCACCCTTCAGAGTTAGGAACACCCCTCCCCTCAAAAGAGATGACCAATTTCCGGGGAATAAAGTGCATTGAACTCACGCTAAATCCGCAATCCAAGTGCTCATTGGAGATCTGCTTGAGGACGCCGACATATTTGAGATTATTGCAGAATTGCATCACCAGAGAATTGAATAGCTCCTGATTTGTGTCGCTGATGGAACTCTTCGGGTTGCTTTGCATCGTTGAGACTAGCCATTTCACCAGCATTTGACCTGAAAAACAACGAAAGGAAAAAAACAGTTGTAACTGAATGAAATAACTTTGATCACAGCTGGTCCACTTATTCACTCGTTCTCCAAAAAAATAAAGGAAAACTTGCAGCCACTAAGCAGAGAGATTTATGGGTGAGAGACGCCTGGGGGTGAAGCAACTCCCAGGCGGAGGGCCCTAAAAAATGTGGAATACATAATTTCTTGGGGTAAAAGTCAGACAACAAGCTGAAGGGAAAATAATCCTTATCGATGGGTAGACTAAACAGATACTCTACAATTTATATGAAAAAATCCTTAAGATATTTAAGGTATATATTATAAGTATTTATGAATGAACCATGTGCAGTTTCGAACTTTCCTATAAGTCCACTTAATCATTTGTCTTTCTCGTTATAAAGTCCCATGACTAATAGATCGATAAGATAAACAAAGAAAAGCCTGCTAATTAAAAAAGAGTCCACAAACTATAACAGTTGAGGGCAATATAAGATATAAATTTTTGATTCATTTTTGGTTATTAAAAAGATTTAATGGTTAAGATATTAAGATAGGATATAAAGATACTGATTTTAGATATAGACGAAGGGAAATATTTTCTTATATTTCTAAAAATATATGTTTTATATTTTTCTTTTGAAATTTAGCATTAATATTTTCTAAGAGGAAAATCACTTGGATTTCCTCTGTATTTCTCCCCATAACTGAGGGACTTTCTCAGCCAACTAAAAACCCAAATAAACTTTTCTGTAGCCAAAAAAAAAGAGAACCGAACAAAGAAACAAACTTACGCTGGTTGTCAGCGTATGAGTGAGAAACAGTTTGCAGGAGCAGCCGGAGCAGATGTTTTGGGTCAGAGGTCGAGATCTCGAGCAGGTCAATGCGTATCCGTCGGATGCGTAGGCTAATTCCTGCGACCTCAGCTGGTGGCTCCTCTGGTTCCTCCTCCTTCTCTGGTTTTCCCCGGGAAAATCGAGTTTTCTGCGCCCGCCAGGCGGCCAATGACATTAGCTGGAGATAATGTGGCGGTAGATTGGCAACATCCTCCTGGGAATTCCATTGCGTTTCTCCTTCCGATGCGAATTCAAAATCCTTCGGTTGCTGCTTGGCCAGCAGAGAACACCAAACGTTGCTCAAAGCACTGGACATATATATAGTATAATTCTCCTTCCTAGATCCACAGACCTAGTTGAACTTTCTCCGTCTAATAACAAATTAAAACTGCCTACGCGAATTCAACAGTGTGTTTTTCGATTAGCGCAAAAATTGAAGTGTTGTCAAAAGTTATCAGCATTATCAATGCCTTGAACATGACAACTGCGGTACTCTCGACAACGTCTGCTTAGAACACTGAGCAGAAAAACCAAAAATTTGAAAATATAAGTACAATAAAAAAAACAATCAAGTGAAGAAATACTAATAAAATTAAAAAGAAACTATTAAAACATTCAAAAATGTTCAAAGGAACTGAAATATAATATTACTAAACTGCTAAAAATATTATTAGAACAATGAACTATTTTAACAATCCTCAGATATATTTCCTCTTCTAAATATTAAATCTATAAATATTTAATTAAAATGTTTTTTTTTCCTCTGTATAGATTAGATTGTAATTGTTGAGAGAGGGAAAACTAGACAAATAAAGTAATATTAGGTGGCCCTGAGAAGGTCGCCTGCTTTATCAGTCATGGTTATTTTTTGATAGGGTTTTCACTGCTCTCTCTTCTTTTTATTGAATCATTTGTCTAAATTTACTGCACACTTTTTTTTCAAGTACGTCATTATTTTTCCTTAATCATCGGGGTTAAATTTCAGCCTAATTTTACTGATTCAAACGTTTATTTCCCCTTTCTAAATTTCTTCAAGTTTGTTTTGGTTTTTTCAGCAGCTTTATCTTTTAATAACCCTTGCCGCATGTGAAGTGTTGCTGTTGGGAACTTTAGATAACTCGAAAGCCTGAGTGATAGTGTCTGTAAAATTGATGTGAGCAGTGATAGATTAAATCGGTTTGATAGGGTGCATTTAAAGATTAAGTGACGTAAATCAATCATTTTAAACTGCACCACGAGGTGTGTTTACTTAAAAGTGAAAAATAAATAATCTGATTAAATCAAAAAATAAAAGAAAATTAAAATAAAGTAAAAAAATGTATAATAATAGTAAAGTAATTTTTCAAAACCAGTCAACAAATATATCCCATTTTGAGACCTCCTCTAAAATTAAGATATCTTCTAAAGGACCACATTTCGATATTTCCTTTTCATCACCAGTATCTATATCCTTTCCTGACCAACCGATTGAAATTGAGCTCACAAGATCATTAGCACCCACCACATGCAAAGTTGATGCCAGAGGATTGCCATTTTGATATCGATGATGGCATCGTTTTCGGGGGGGACGGACCGGAAGGAAGTGCCAGCTTAGCTGGTCATTGGTGACCCAATCCTCATCCTCATCAGCATCGGCGGTATCTTTGTTGTTCTCGCTCCAAATGTCGTTGTTTTCTATTGTTGCTGCGCTTGGGCTTTATTGCTGGCGCCATCGCGGCGTTGTGGCAAACGGGTTTCGAGTTTTGATGAAAACTGCGCCACCGACGACGCACAGCAAATTTGCATAACTGCTTGCCAGGCAAATGCAGCAACCATACACGGCGAAAAATATTTTAAAATGTTTTATGATATTTTTTTCTTGTAAAGTAACATTTTTACTATATTTTTGGACATTGCAATATTCATACAAATTTAATAAGGAATTTAAAATTATTTACGAATTTTTATTTGTCCTTCTTTTATAGGAATCCTGGTAAAAAAGATTTTTAAAGAAACTATTTAAAAACAAAAAATCAAAGTAAGCATCAAATTTGATAATTAAAAAAAGGTTCTTTAATAATAATTAAAAGTCACAAAGATTTTTTAAGTGTAGGGAGGTGCTTGCTGGGAGGTGAGGGCGGCTTAGAAGTGGGTGGTGCGCTGGGTGGCAGCGGTTTTTGGCGCCTCACGCATGCATGCGTTGCATTCATCAACGGCAGAGTGGCGTTCGCTCTGTTCATACCGACAAACAAAACGGATGAGAGCGAAACGATGCCACAAAACCACAAAGCAGAATGCAAAATGAAGCAATGAAGATGCAGCGAAGAAATGGGTTAAAGCGACTCCAAAAGTACCCAGGTATATAATTTAAAATGATCTGTATAGAAAATAATATATATCATAATATCATCTTGAAGAACCATCTCTATAAGGTTTGACTTAATAACCTTTTAAAATTTCGTTGTAATTTTTTTAAATTATCCATAATAAAGCATATATCTTCCCTAATTTCGGCTACAACAACCAACAATTACGAGGTATTTTTAGCAGAGCTTTATTGCAGCTACCTCCTCTTAGCGAAAGAAAAAAAATATTGTTTAATTACGCTTTGGCCGAAAACACTGTCGTCTATACTTGCTGGCTAGCAGAGCTCCTTGAAGTTGGCTTTCGCCATCCGAAATGTTGGCCCTCATCCCGGCCAGAATCACTTCATCCGAGCGAAGCTGGCGAACGTGATGTTGTCGGGCATATAAATCAGATTTTTGGTCCAAAAAGCGCTGCCGGACGTTGCCTGATGAAAAGTCGCGACAAACAGCTTCTGCCTTTATCCCCGTCCATCCCGCCCATCCCGAATTTTCCCAGTCGCATCCCATCTTCCTGAAAAGCCACGAAGAATTGATGGCCACTTCAGAGACAATGACGTCGACGAGGAAAACGCGAGATGCGAAAGATGCACCGGGGGAAAAGATATAGTGAAATATATTTTCTAGAAAATGAATACTGATAACACAGGCCAACAGTGTTTTTGGTGCAGCCCTATGGGCATTAAATTGTGTTAATATAGACGGATATAAGCATATCTGCATACTTACTTTTCGAGTTTAACGGGTGGTATTTGTGCAATCGCGGTTTGAAAAAAGTAGCAACATTTTATATTTTCATTTAAGATATCTTCGACGGTCTGTTCTCAGTTGTAATAAAACCTATGCCAAAAAATTGCTTAGATCTTAGATCATTATTTGAGTTAATAAAAGCCTATGAGCCATTGAAGTAATTTGTTCACCTCTATTTACAACCAACTTGATGCGGTGAACAGGCTTAAAAAAATACAAGGAAAAATATGTGCCCTAAAATATTTGACAGTCATCTAGAGGCGTCTTTTCCCGAATTTTTGAGATAAATCCCACTATTGTACTTCGAAGAATGGAATTTATAGAATTTTTTCCGTAAGAATGGGAAAAGTAACAAGTATTTTAAAGTCACTGTTACGTAACGAGTTTGTCGTGATTTCACACAGTAGGTTTTTTAAAGATAACAGTGGCGTAGCCTTAAAATTGTGGGGGGGATTTTTTTTTAGGCATATTAACCCCTTAAAAATATAATTTGTCTATGTTCGACGCCTACTGCTAACCAAATTGAAAGGCACATTTTTACGAATGTGTCAGATATTTATGTAAAATGGGATTTAAAAATAGTTGTTACTTTTCACGTTCTTACGAAAAAAATTCTATAAATTCCATCCTTCGACGTACAATGGTCTTATTTGTCTTAAAAATTCGGTGAAAGACGCCTCTAGATGCCTGTAAAATATTTTAGGGCATATATTTTTCCTTGTATTTTTTTAAACGTGTTCACCGCATCGAGTTGGCTGGGAATAGAGGTGAACAAATTACTTCAATGGCTCTTAGGCTGTGATTGACTCAAATTATGATGGAACCTTAAGTGCAATAATGTAGAAGGGCATCTAAGCAATTTTTTGGCATAGGTATTATTACAACTGAGCACAGACCCTCGAAGATATCTTAAATCAAAAAATTAAATGTTGCTATTTTTTTCAAACCGCGATTGCCCAAATACCACCCGTTAAACGCGAAAACTAAGTATGCAGATATGCTTATATACGTCTATATTAACATGTTTTAATGCCAATAGGCCTGCACCTTTTAATAAAGTCCATTTTGTTGACCTGTGTAATATATCATTTGCTATGGTGAAGAAATGTTATTTTCATAATTATAGAGACAATAATGTCGAAATTTTGAGATATATAATATTATATAAAATAAAATAATTTGCAAAGAGTTAAATTAAAATATCTTTTATTTATTTCTGATGATAAAGAAAATTATAAAAAGGTATTAAAGAATTTAAAATTCTTTCCACAATAGTATTTTCCTAATTATATATATAATATAATATAAAATAAAATAATTTGCAAAGAGTTAAATTAAAATATCTTTTATCTTTATTTATATTCTCGAAAAAAAACTCACAGAAACTTAATTTTCAACAAAATTGTTTTGGTTTGTTTTTTTTTAAGTGCAGCAAATTGCGTGACCAGAAATCCCCCCACTTTTTCCCCAAAATACAACCTCCCCCCACCCCATGCAGCTTCTCTTCTTCGCCGCTTGTTTGCCCAGCGAGGCGTTAAAATGTTTGTTTGCATTAATTTGCAGCAGACGACAACGATGATGATGATGATGGCGGAGGATCAGGATCCCCGGGTGCTGAAAAGCGGGAAGGCTGACAACGATGAGCTTACCAATTAGCGCTTTTTGCCCCTTCCCGCCATCCCATACCGCCCATCTCGATGGGCGTGGCATGTGTCAAAAACTGCGCCTCCAAAATGCCCGCGATGCGTTTGAAGCGAAAGTTTTGCAGGCTTTTCACTTTGGAAATTTTTGGGGGTAAGTGGGGGATTTTTGGAAATAGTTTCGTCCCAGAGACGAAAATTTGCAGACGGAATTTTTGAACGAACAACAATGTTAGCAAAGAATATTAATATTTAAAGTAGACTTTCGATATTAAAAACTTTTGAAGAAGTAATCTATTTGGGAAAATAAAGTTCCTTTACTTTGAAGTTTTAATATTATAAAACAAGAGTAAAATTTGAATTTTAATGTTAAGAGCTTTAAACAAATGATTAAATAGGGACAGGAGAACCTTTTAAATATCAAATGAAAGGTTTATTTAATTAAATTAATTTAATTAAAAATTAATTATATCCTTACCAAAAAAAAAGAATATTCAAATAATATTTAGATTGTTTTTCCCACGAAATATCCATGAACCATAATTATTAGGAATAATAAAATATTTTTGGTAAATTAAATTACACAGTGAATACTGTATAGCCACACATCTTCTCTCATGTGCAAAAATTCCACAGATTTTCACTCTTGGGAGACGAATTTAAAGTCTTTTCCCTGAAAGTATGCCACACATTTTTGGGCTGTGAGGGGGGTGGCACTAGAATAGAATAGGTTTACGTAGAATATATATATATGCGTGTGCACTTCAAAATGTTAACCTGGCAAGTTTTGCCCTCTCCTCTATTTACATACAAAATTTCCCAATTATGCAATCATTCAACTTGATTTGGCTTGCTTTTCTTGACTGATTTCCAGAAGGAAAATTGCAAGAAGGGGGTCGGTTGGGTAAAGTGTGCTGGAGCTGAAGCAGGCAAATTAATTGTTAACTTTAAGCAAACAACAAACGCAATCAAACGTGGAGCACCGGCAGAAAAAAAAGAGGAAAGAAAGAATGAAAGGGAAGAAAAACGGAAAGGGAAATAAAATTAAATGTTTCCCGAGAAACGACACAAAAGGCAAACAGTAAATGCGCAGAAATCGCAGAGGTAACCTTTATATTTCTCCCGCCAAAATCCCTTTCCCCAAGCCCTTTTTTTCCTTTCGATATTCCTGCCTTTGGCATCGCTTCACTGAAGTCGCAGATTGAAGCATAAAGCTCAGCTCAAAAAAAGCGAGAGCACTGAGTTAATACTCTAAGAGATTTTCTCCAAACGAAATGAAAAGAAATATCACATAAAAAAAATGTCAATGATTTTTGTTTTGACATAATTCCTAAAATCCATTGCAATACTTTCTATGTTGTATAACTATTTTAAAACAGTAAATAAAACCTTTTAACACTTAAACATTTATATTGAATATTGTAAATTTTTTTAGGACAAGTAATCAATATTTATCTTTTTTTCCCAGTCTAAAATAAAAAATTTTTAGACATATTAACTCAACAAAATATAGTCAATATTATAAAATGTGAATTAATTATTTTAAATTAGTTGTATTTATTGGAACGAATTTTTTAGGCCATACATTTTTTAGATATCTTTGAGATATAGCAATATTTTCATTCATTGCCCTTGAATATTTTCCAATCTCCTCTAGACATCCCGCATACCCACCTCTTAACTCTAGAGTATTTAAACACGAATATTTGGGCAAACTTACCTTCGAACTTTTCATATGCAGCGAAGCTTAACTTTTCCGGTACATAAGATGAGCCGCGTCGCGAACTGGCTCCACCTCCTCCGACCACGCCCCCGGTGATGTCTGGTGGCAGGGTTGCCACCAGCAGCGATGAGGAGATTGGAGTGGCCAACAGGGTGGTCTCATCATTGGCGGGGTGGACCAAATTCGGGGGATTGGAGCTATTATTGCCAGCCGAAGATTTCTCGACCGTGAAGCTGGCGACCTTCTTTAGCACATTGCTCGACAAAAGGGGCGTGGTGGGCGTGCCGAAGCCGGGGGGCGGCGGTGGGAGTGGCAGGGGCGCCGTGTCATCCTCAACATTTTCACAGGCTGATGCTGCTGCAGAATTCGTTTGAGACTGCACAGGTGTTTGAGATGATTTAAACGAAATTATAACAGTTGATTGCGTTTCCAGAGACGACGACGAAGGTCCCGAAAGTCCTGTAGCTCCTGTAGAAAACGAATGAATGACGAGGCAAATGGCATTAGCTGGATAAATTTGTATAGAAATTCCCGCGATGCTTAAATAAGTGAAAAATTGAGGATAAATGTATTCCTGGCAGCGCATAAGTCACTTCCCATAATTACTGGTTAAATTGTAGAATATATACGCCAATCATTTATCATTTTTGACTTGGTGGGAGGGGGAAATTCTGAATAGTCTGGTATTTGAAAGGAATTTTAAAGCTGCAGGTTTATGTTTTAGAAGCACAAGAAAAACAATTTGTATGCTATAGTAAACTTTTAAAATATTTTTAAAATTTTTAAGCTTTTTCCTCCTATGAAACACATTAAAAATGTACCAATATCTAAATGATTTATACTCATTATCACAAAATTTATGAACAGCAGCCAACTAAAGTGCTGAACCTTCCGAAAAATAAACACTTCATCTTGGGATTTTAATACTAATATTTTCTTAAGCTTTGTTTCCTGCCATTTAGGAATCCTCGCTTCCCGTGTCAAAAATGATTTACTTTCATTAAATCGAAATTCATGATGCCTGATGCCCCCCGACAAAAAAAAACATATAATTTTCCTAGTGCATTAAATCTTCCCCTGGCTCCTTGATTTCGTGTAGCAAATTTGTATGGTCCCTCCCCGCCGATTGAGTAGACCCTGTGGAGCGCTTATCGCAGCCCATCATCATTGACTTTGTGCCCAAGTGGTTCCTTTTTCCCGCTCTTCCGATTCGGCGGATAACTCCCGCGTGCATCATTCTATATAACATGATTTAATTAAAATTTAAACTTTCCATTTTTCTTTTTTTTTTGTTTCATTTTGGAATTTTTGCTTGCTTCCCTGCGGAGCCACAATGGGGAATTATCAACAACAAAGTCGGAGGGGCAAAAAGGAAACTGAAGCTCTGAGCCTGAAGCGCCTGTTTCCGGCCAACATTTTGTAAACAATGAAGACGTGTTTGCAATTTTTAAGTTTTTACAAATGTTTTTTTGTTGCGTTGGTAGGTAGTATTTTTTTGTTTTTTTTTTGGTTTTTCCTGGGGTATATGGGGCGATACCCCCAGCCCAGAGGGCCGGAAAGAGCAGCCAACCATGTTCGCTTTTGTTTATTTTTTGTTTATCGAGCCAACGCAATTAGGTGAATTTCGAGGAGCGGGGAATACTCGCAGTTTCGGGAGCAATTATATATTTAAAATATCATGCGGGGGAGTGGGATGATGGGTTGAGAGGAAAACGAGTCCTTGCATAAATGTGCCAATAATTACTTTCGGGTCCCTGCTTGTTTTTATTCAATCTTTTTTTTCAGCATTTTTCTCGTTCTTTTTTTCTTTGTGTTTTTTAAAGCGCCACTGATCGGATCAGTTTTGAAAACAAAGAGTGCTGGTTGGTGAAAAAAAGGGGAAAATGGTGAGACTGTTGCTACATGAGTTAATTAAAAAACTTTGCATTAAGGTCCAAGGGCAACACCCTTTATTCTTGCGGTTTTCTTTTGCTCTGAGATGAAAAGGGAAGTTCCTATAATTTTTAAGTAATTACTCAAAATTGTGTAACGGAAAAATGAAAATATTTTTTTATTTTCTAAATAATCATTGATAAAAAATAGTCAAAATAAAATTTATTTAAAATTTTTTAAAGGTGTTTAGGCGTAAGTTCCCATGACTTTTTTTTGCCATCACCTTTTGAGAGGACGATGGGCACTTCAATTTCGAAAGGGGGAAACAACACTCAAAACTACAGTTTGACAAGCACTTCTGTGCGAGCCTTGTTTACCTTTGAAATTGGCGCAGAGCGAAATAAGCAACAATCTGCTCAGCAAAAAAAAGGGACAACCTTTTGGACATGTCTCCTTCCTCTATCCTTTTTTTTCGGCTGAAGGACCACTTTCTAGAGCACACATATGGCTACAAGTGGGACACAACAAACAACGCCAAATAACTGGTAGATTGGCATTTTTAAAGGCCAGAGGGTATAGGCTTTTTTAAATGATTCCCATGGGATTTTCAAATCTCACATATACATATGGTGGGTAATAAGATTAATTGCATTTCGATTCATTAATCGGTAATTTGTTCTATGCAAACTCTGTATACTAATTTAATTTCAGATTTTACTAAACAATGAACTTTATCGCAAAATCTTTAAATTGCTTTAAACACTTTGCATATTTTATCAATGGTTCAAAATTGCCCCTTTTGTCTAAAATGGTTTTTATTTGCCTGAATGGATGGTCGTTTAAAATTAAATTAATTGTTGTCCTCGGGCCAAAAAACACACGCACACACATGATAAACAAGAAGCTTTAATAATAGGTAAATAAAAAGTAATTAGTTGAAATTGTTGTTTGCACTTCATCACTTTTTTATTTTATTTTGTTTTACTTTATTTCAATTGAAATTTTAAATAAAATAATTAAATAGTTATAAATAAAGATTTGTTATTGCTACATTTAAGTATTTTTATCGCTTTTTCCTTTTGCAAATAAATTAAAAATGTATCAATGAATTTAAGAACATGTCAATAAATTTTATATTATATATTCCTACATTTAAGTATTTAAGCTGTGCTTTTTTCACTAGAGATTAAATGTTTCGTCCTGTGTTAAGTAGCTAAAAATCATTTTCTTAAATATATTCCTACCTGTTTCGTTTGGTGTTGATAATGATGAAACACCTGGCGGTGTTTGACTGACGGCGGCTGTGAATCGGGAGGATAGGTTCTGTAGCTCGACCTTTTTTGCCTTGGAGACATTGAAAAGTTCCCCATTTCCCAAGGGCGAATCAACCCTGGTACCTCCGGATCCCTCCATATTTGCCGGCGATAAAGGAGTACCCGTTCCACTGCCCAAAACCTGAGCCAACTTTTTGCCCAATTGCAGGGCCATTAGTTCCTCGTCCGGCGAACTTTCCGCCGGGCTATTGGGTGCTACCAGAAGATCGGTATTGAGCAATATAGCTGCCTGATCCGCCTGATCCTGATCCTGATCCGGATCGACTTCCTGCAGATCATTGGCTGCGATGCTGAGGTAGGTGACTCGGGTTAAGCTCAGGCAGGCCAATTTATCGGCTCGACAGCGTTTCTGCAGCTCAAGAACTGCCTTTGCCGTATTCGGCGATAGTGTGTCCACCGAAGTCACGCTTATTTCGCTCAGTGGACGATCGCGCTTCGATTTTTGATCTATTTCCGTTTTAGCTGCATTTAAATAGTGCTTGTTTATGATCAGTTCGTCGACGGGATCTGTGAATAGGGAATCATTGCTTGAACAACTTGTGCACAACGATCTCCGATCGTACGGATAATGGCGATTATTTTGATGGTTGGTATTATGATTATTATGATTCGGATGATGATGAAGTTGCCTCTGTCGCTGTTGCTGCTGCGTTCCCAAATTTTGATGCTGAGTTAGGGTGTCGTTGGAGGCATAGCAACAATCATCGCTGCTGCAATTGTGGTATTCTAGCGAATCGGTGTAATCCAAACTGACCACGTCGTCTTTATTTTTTCGGTTAGCAGTTTAAAATGTTTGGGTTGAATTGAGAAATAGACAAGTGTTATAGAGAAGTAGAGAGATTGCAGAAAAAATGGCAAAGATCTTAAAAGAAATTGAGGGGACTTAACGAAAGTAAGTTTAAGGAACTTAAATGTGTGCGTTTTTTAAAATATTAAAAAAGTTTAGAAAATTATCTTTGGTAAATTTGAATATTTTGAAATATAATAAAGTAATAAAAATTAGGCAATGTTAATAAAAAAAAACATAAATAAAACATAATAAAAAAACAAAAAACATAACAACAATAAAAATCATATTTTGCAACATTCTTAAATCCCAAATTATTTAAATTATTTTTGTAATAGCATTGAAGTTATATTTCTGCTCTTTCTCCTTAACCATTTTTCACCAAAGTGCCGAAAGTGCGATGAGCTCGCTGCTCAAATATTTGGAATTAAATAAAACAGTCTGCCGACTGCGGCTTAAAATGATTTATATGCCATTAATCCGCGACGGCGATGGCTCATTCACAAAAAAGCGACATGTGTAAGAAATAATAATTAAACAAAAGTAAATAAAAACAAGGCGCCACTGGAAGCCGAAAGAGTGCAGAAACCAAAAACCGAAAGAAGAGAGAAATAAATATCTCAGAGAGACGGAAAACTGGAAAGCCGCACAATTATGAAAATCTATATGGAAAATGGTCAAGGGGAAAAAAGGTGTGTGTTTGCTGCGGGCCAAATGAAAATGAAAATGGGAAAGGTTCGAGAAAATCCCCCAAAAGGTAAACAAAGAAAATCGTACAAAACAGAACCCAAAAAAACTGGTTTTGGCTACGAAGAAAAGAGATGGGGGTTCGCGTTTCAGTGAGGAAAAAAAAGCGTTGGCGTCCGTCAGTTGCCTTCTCTCTTTCAAAAGTAAATTGTTTAATTTGTTGTCCATGGGCAATTAAGGCAAATTGAAAGCAAAACAAAAGCCAAACTGTAAAGATGAGCCCCGATAACAAAGGAAAAGGTACTCCTCCAACTCCCCATTTTTCCCCAGATATAAGAAAAAGGAAGAAGAACCTCGAATAAACACCTGTAGATTGCTTGTTTTGTCATTTGTTAGGCACTTTTCGCTCGAAAACAGCCACTTTTCACATATTTCTGTCTGCACTTTTTGTTTTTATTTTGGTAATATCTATTTTTCCAGAGGGCTTTACGATTTCGAACATGGAACGATCTGCGCGGAAGCGAGTTCAAAGCGTTACTAACAACCAACTGGTTTGGAATTAAAACCCACTGGAAAGTCAAAAGCCGCACAACAAAACCGAAAGAGAGGGAGACACAGAGACAGAGAGAGGGTGAACATATAGATATAGAGAGAACGCAAATCGGAGAACCGCCAGAGAAATATATATATGCATATATACACTTTTTTGTTGACGGTCTTAAGCTCGAGTTACATGAAACGAAAGCAGAGCAGAAACGTGAAAAAGATCATGTGAGATATGATCGACGATAGAAATACCGTTGTACTATATGAAAATCTACGAAGGAAAATCAATAACATTTTAAGATCGTAAGTATCTTTGACCTTCTTTATTCTAGATTTAAAAAATAGTACATACGAATTCATGGTCATAAATGTTGATAATGTTGATAAATGTTGATAATTTTATCTTAAATATTCACTGCCTAAATATTGCAAACTCTGGTGATTTAAAGATTTTTAAAATATTTCTTAAATTGTAAGAAAAAAATTAATAAATAAAAATTAACTACGGCATTAAATTAAATTAAGTTACATGTTTTAAACCAAACTATTTTTAGTTTATATTTGTTTTCATAATCATTTTCAAGTAGAAGACAACCCAAATAACATCCTTTTATAGTACTTTGCTCTATCTAAACCCCTTTCGACAAACAGATCCACAAACTCAGCATACCCAAAGATGGCAAAAATATGTAAGTACTAATTAGCAAAGCGGCAACGTCGAGGGCAAAATAATGCATGTTTTTTTTTACCAAGACCGAGCTTACCCACAACCACTGTAGTTTTTGCTGCCGCTTCAGTGGTTTCGGCAAAAAGCTGTTCAATGAACGCACAGTGGTCATCGCTGGGGACTTTTTCCCCCCGGTTTTTTCTGGGTTTTGGTGGGGGTTTCGGCGGAGGTTGCGGTGCTATGCGTCTCTTTCGAGGCTGCTTGGTCATGGGGGAATTTTTTTCCTGAACTAGTAGCTCCTCCCTTGATAGAATTCCCAAGGTTTCCTCTTCGTTTTCGGTACTTTTGTGTCGAATCGAGAGCTGACAAAGTTGGCTTAAGTTGCAGCGATCCTCATTTTCGGCTTGTATTTGCAGTTGCTTTTTTAATCTCGGTGGTTTTGCAGGCGCTTTACAAATAACGAAATCAGTTTGCATACTTTTGGTCTGCAGCATTTTTAAAGTCTAGTATTTTTGGGTGACGAATGGAGTTGCCTTGTCAAACTTTTCTCAAATGCATAATATTATTTTGTTTTTAGGGGCCAGTTGGAAAAGGTTGCTGAGAGGCAAGCCATCAGTTTATTTAACTAAAACATTCCATATCATACCTTGTGTTCATGGCTATTGTGGGTCTCTGATCTTAATATTGCATTTAAACAGAATTTTGAATAGTTTTCGAGAACATTTTCAGAAAGACTGACATTTCTGATAAATGCTACTGGGGATGCGAAATTGAAGTGGTATGATAACAGAAATTATGTGGATAATTTAATTTTAATTTATTTAATTAATAATTTTATATTTTATCATTTGCAGTTTGACCCTTTTTCCTACATAAAAACTTTCCATATTCGACATTCAGTTCTCCATTTAAATGTCATTAAGCGCTCCCAAAAGTATACGAAACAAATTCTGACTTTGAATGTTCAGTATTTAAAACGCTCAATTATTGCAATATTATAAACAAATTGTGAACAACATTAAGCAGTTGTTAAAACTACACACATAGACAGTCAAAATAGATGGTAGATGAGCGAGTTTACAACTTTACATGGAAATGTACAAGCGAAACTATTAAAACTAATTGCCATAAATATTAGCGGCCAGCCACGTGCCATGCCAAAAAACTTTTCCACCATAATGTGCTTGTCTATACACCCAGAGAAAAAGTTGTACAATCAATTAAATTACATTTAGATTTACAATTTAAAAACACAAGATTTTTAGAAACTTAAAAACATGAAATTTTCATGAAAATATTAATATTTGACGAATTAATATTTGGGATAAATTAGTACCGAAAATATTATTATTTACTATGTTTTTTCCCGGATGTACATGTGTTGGTATTATTGCGTGTGTTAGTGGCTGTGCGTGGGTGTGGGCGCTTAATTGAGCACGTTGCTAAAACTCTGCCAAAGGCTGCAGTTTCCTCCCAAAAAAAGGAGTCCTAAGCCAAAATCCAACGAAGGGATGGTAACTCCACCCACTTCTCAAAAATTTCCCTCGATTTTCCACGGTTCTTCCCTTCTGCTATGGGGTATTTGATTTCGTTTGCACAGTTTGAGGATGTGTTTTCTTTTCGGTGGCAGGGAAAAAGTAGGGAGCCACGATTTTTGGCTCCCCACCAAATTATGCTCAACAGTCGTATTTATTTCACAAACAAATTTATTTAAAACAAGAAAGGAAGCTACCTTCGGCCAGCCGAAGCTTATATACCCTTGTAGATAAAAGAGTACTCACTCGGTGCAGTTCCAGGGATTCCAGATTCAGCGTTTCGATTTATTTCAATTTTGTTTTTAAGTAGTCAAGAATCAAAACGCCTACTTCCTACAAAGTTACAATGAATTTTCTTAGATTTGATTGGGAGCCTTAAGATATAGTGGTCCGATCCGGCTGGCTCCGACATATGTACTACCTGCAATAGAAAGAAGACCTTCGGGAAAGTTTCATCGCGATAGCTTTAAAACTGAGAGACTAGTTCGCATAGAAACGGACAGACGGACAGACGGACAGACGGACAGACGGACATGGCTAGATAGACTCGGCTATTGGTGCTGATCAAGAATATATATACTTTATGTGGTCGGAAACGTCTCCTTCACTGCGTTGCAAACATCTGACTGAAATTATAATACCCTCTACAAGGGTATAATAAATAAGCGGTACCTTAATTAAATTGTAGTGATTTTAAAGACTTTAAATAAATTTAGCTTCCTCATTAATGTTCGAAGTTATCATATTGTAACGTAATTCATTCTATTTTCACTCTACTACTAATAAAAGCATATCACTAAGATTATTTTTTAGATTAAATGTGATCGGAATAAATGTTAATTTATTTTAAGTATTTAAAGACTATATTGTTTAATCAAATCTTATGATTACCAATGAGTCAAAAATATAATATCATTTAAACAAATGGGAGTCTACGCGGTACACATTGCAGTCGAGTGGGAGCGAACGTCAGTACTTTATTCCTTGAGCCTTATGCGATTTTTAGGGGGTTTCCCGGGGCTTCCCGCCCTCCATTCCGCACCTCCTTTGGGCGCCTCTTTCTTGGCCCCATGAATTATGAATTTATGCATTGAAAAAGGCCCCGAAAACAGCTGGGTGCGTGCGAGTGAATGAAAGGGCGAATCGCGCTGGGGAGCTATATCATCTTTCTGGGCTGAAAGGGAATTTTTGATATAGAGACCTCCTCCCCGAAAACCCGCACTACCAGCTCCCTTGGCAAGGCACGTTTAGGATTTTTCGTTGATTTGATTTTAGGCTTTGCCCCGCTGCAATGCCAAAAAGCTTCTTGCATCCAAAAGGCTGGAGGAGGTGGTTTGGTTTGATGGAGCCTCTCTTTTCGCCTCTGAATTGCTTTTTGATATGCGGCACAGCCTTGAACGCGTTTTTCGCATCTTTGTAAATGTAAAATGCGCGCGAAAAACAGAGGCCCCAAGAACGAAAAAAAAATAGTCCACCAAAAACGTTTGCCGATTTATTTTTCATAAAATTTGAATGCATGTTATAAGTAAATAGGAGTGTTTTACAAATTGTTATTAAAAAAAGAAAAAAATTAAAAATAGTAATATCGCTTAAAAGAAAATACAAAAAAATTAATTAATTTTTATTAATCATATTTTTTTTTAATTTTTTAATTTTCGTGAATTTTTAAGAAAATTACTTAGGCTGTTTTTGTTGGGTGTATAAAAATCAAAATAATTGATATCCATATTTATCCTGTCATTCAAAACTATTTCCATTGCCAAAAATAACAAGAGCATTAAGATCTCAGTTTTTCGCGCATCGTTACCCTTTTCCCTCCATCCAAATATTTTCCCGGCTTTGAGTGATTTTTTTGGCGCTTGTTTTTCTTTTCTGTTTTTTTTTATTGAGTAGTACGAGACGCCTGCAGCTTTTGAACTCGACGTGTTTTTCTTATGGCTGTTAATAGACAGTCGTGAGTTTTTGAAGTGGGTCGCTACTCCTTCGTCCTGTTTTTTGGGTTCTGTTTTGTGTTTCTGATGTCTGATGCCTTTTTTTATGGTTTATTTTTTCGTCTTTTCGCTTTTCAGTTTCCCAGTTGCTGAGTTATGATGGCGAACGTGCTTTTGAGCTTCTGTTTATGTTTTTCTGTGTGTGTGTACTGCTGCTTGGCTTAATATTTTTAAAGGGGGCATCTTAAAGATTTCACATGAATAACTAAAATCTATAAATTTTTGATTTCAATTTGCCAAAAAAATAAGAGAGAGAAAGAAAAAACAAGAGCACACTAAGTAAAAAATATTATTTTGCCAAGGCAAAATGCCAATAAGTTACAAGCAGCCGAAAAACTTGAGAGTTTTTGGCTTCGATGAAGGATGATATATAAGTGGGAAGAAAATCGAGGAAAACGGGGGGAGAGTTTCTGCAACAGACGAAGGTGCCACAACAACAACAAATATAACAACAACTGGGGGGAGCTGGAAAATTCGAAAAAGTCAAACGTTGGGGAGAAGAAAGGGAGGAAAATGATGGGGAAAAACGGAAGGGTGTAGAAAATTTCATAAAAAACTTCAATGAAAAGTTTATTTTTTGTTCGCTCTCTTGTTGTTGCTGTAAAAGTTTTCCGAAAAATTCTTATTTAAACTCCGCTTAAATTGCAATAAAGTCGAGTTGAAGAGAGTTTGATGGACAGTTCGTATCAATAATTTAAGGCTCAGAAAATGTAATATTGATATAAACATTATTTAAAACAAAATAGATTTTTTTCAACAAAATCCCAAGCCCAAAAGCCTACATTTTATACCAGATACTTGTGATATTGATCAATCAAATTTTAATTGTTAGTATTAAGCTGCCATTAATTAAAATCGTCTATTAAATATGGCTAGAAAATATTGTTGATAATTAAAAAAAATAAAATAGCTGAGACAACTAACGATTTCATAAAATTATCCATTTAAATGTCAATTATTTCCCTATAATATTTGTGACAAATTTAATTGCTGTCATATCAGGTTTACTTTTCCATAAAAAATATCGTTGTTAACCAGTTATCAATTGTAATTAGTTGACAATTGACCTACAGCTCCGATACGCACTGTAGTCTGAAGCTGTAGAGTTCTATATTAAAACAAAAGTCTCCGAACAAAAAGTTAAAAATAAAAATAGAAAAAATGGAAAGCAACAATAGAGGTAAAAAATAAAGTTGGCATATTGAAAAATGCAAGGAGCAAAAACAGGGGAGAAGAGTTTTTTGTTGTTAGAAATAGAAAAAGCTGACAAACTGAATTTGATGCACACCAACAATAACATTCAGAATTACAACAACAAATAAAGTTAAGTCCTCAACAAGGAATCAACAATATAAATAGCAACAACAAAAACTGACTGCACAGAGAAAAATCTAAATTGATTTTTAAGAAATGGAACCGAAACCAAGAAAGTTTTTTACACACATTTATTATTATTGCATTGTATAGCAAAAAAATTGTATTCAGTATAAAATTTCTTAGAGAATTTTATTAAACTCATTCAAAAATCTCTTTTATTTCTCTCTGTGCACTGCTATGGGTAACTTTGGAATTGACTTACGAAAATCGATGGTTTCGGCACTGGCATCCAATTGTCCATGCTCCACTTCCGCTTCCGCTGCGGTCCAATCGCTACTTCCGTCGCCGCCGCCCTCCAAATTGACCTCCAAACTCGATCCCATTTTCGGCGAGTGTAGGAATGCCTCGCGAATGCGCTTCTGACCCATCAAGCGGCTGAGGACGCGAACTCGACTGTTCCGCCTTTCGGCCAGGGCCACGCCCACTCCGCCGCCGCCCCCTGCGACGCCCATCCGCACCAGACTGGCGCCACCTGGCGGTGACTTTTCATCGGTGTTCGCCGACCGATTTTGCGAATTCCCCATTTTGTTGTTGTTGTTGTGGTCGTGCTGCAAAAGAAGTTTACAAAAATCAATTAAAAAACTTTTCAATCAGTCGCATTGTTTGCTTCGGGTTTTCAACAATTTTTTCTTCCCACATTTTTACGAGATTTACTCTATGAATTCGTGGAGGTTTCGCAAAGTGGGTGGCGGAATTTCAATGAGCGAAAGAAATGGATGATTTAAAAAAGGTTTATTACAATTTTAAAATTTTTATATTTGTGGTATGTTATCTACGTATGCAATTTGTGTATTGTTAAATAGCGGATTCCGTTAAACTGAATTTTTAAAGTATTTATTGGTATTATTAAAAATTGTAAATTGAGGGTAAATAAAGTAGACAAATGGTTTGAAAAATATTTTTATATCTCCCAGCTTTTATATTATTTTAAAAATAAAAAAACAAATTAAATATTTAAAAACAATATCGAGTACTTGCTTATAATTTTATACCACAATAAAATCTAATTTAAAAGCGCACTTTTTATTCGTTTAACCACACAACTAATTTTCTCCTATTTTTTGTCTACAGTAAATTTTCGAGAGGTAAAAACTTTTTTGTTGCGAAATTGTTGCAGAAATATGAAATGAATTAGTTGCACAGGTAGCTGAAGGGGTCTGCGATGGCTGACAAAAAGTTTCTACTTTAGTTGTTTGATTTCTAAAGGCAAGTTCATTTGCTGGGGTTGCTCGACAGTTCTTTGCGGCCGATTCTGCGTTGCTGTGTGTCAATATAGTCGAATAGGACCCGAGGCCATCGAAATTGCAGCTGCATCTGAATGGGAAATCGTTGTTCTCCCTCCGATTCCGCTCCTTATTTTCCTCGCCTCTCGCCCCACGCCCCACTCAATTGTAAATTGAACTTTTACTTTTTAGCAAATTTGGTCGAGAAATTTTCAAACGATAATGATCATTAGGAGAGAGATTTTTGGTTATTCTCACAAAAGGTCGGGGGATAACCTTTGTTGGACATCTGTCAGGTGGTCGATTCGGGGAAAGTTTACTGCCTGCATTAAAATCCATTTGCATTTTTGCCAAAGTTTCCGACTTCAAGGTTTGCGAAATTATTTTCAACAATTACAAATTTAAGGTGACGTTAAAATTTAAGTGGCATATATATATATGGGCACTTCCAAAATGTCGCTCGGGACATTTGCACACCTTTAAAGTTGAAAAAAAAGTGTAAATCAATGGATTTTAATTTTAATTATGGGCTTTTCTTTTCCTCTTCCCAAGCTCTATTTTTGGTAAAAATCTTGATTTTTTACCACTTTTAGTTTTTAAGATATCGGTAAAAAACTGCCGTATTCGCTCGGGACAAAATAGAAGTGGATTTCGGGGAAGTTCATACCACACCAGAAATTAACGAATTCTGATGGAATATTTGAATGCGATTTTTTTAGAATGTTGTTCAAACATGTCGCTGTGGAATGCTTTTGGTTTTACTCAAAAATTCTTTGCCGTTTTTTTTTTATGCAGTTTCAACCACATTCGCTCGGGACATTTTTTCCGACTGTTTTGTAAAGCGGATTTCTTTACCTCTATCTCTCAATTGCTGGATGTTTAACTTAAACTTAATAGTTTATCATGTGAATGAAGCATTCAGTACAGAAAAATGTCACATATTAGCATTCCTATAGGATAAATTAACAACAGAAGACAGGTCCAAAAAATAACAAAAAAATAGCCAAAACACTGATTTTTGCGTATTGGTTTGGTTTGTCATAAAAATAATCAAACTATACTCCAAATTTGTAGTTAAGCTCAGTATCCAACTAATTAGAAAGTAATATCGGGGCAAAATCATGTGGAAATATATTTTATTCAAGTTTCAAGGTTTTTGGCTTGGTGGACTTTTTTTTGGAAGTGCCCATATATATTATAATATATTATTCTTTTAGAAAAAAAAAGAATGCATTTAAAGTTACAATAACTTCACTCAAAAGTCTTATTTCCCTTGAAATTATTTATCAAATACTTACTTTAAGTATTTTAAAGATTTTTACCACTGCTTTTTTTGCATTGAGTAAAATGGAAAATTTGTCATTTGATGTGTGCAAATCGATTTTAAGGCGGAATTTGTATTTTCCTTGAACAAAATTGCTGCTATAAATGGCACTACCTATTTTTTTTATTTACCTCCCACCTTATTATTTATCTATATCTCATATAGGTTTTTCCGTTTCCAGTCGCAATATTTTCTTATCTTTTCCTACACCCAAATATATATATTTGTTCACGTTTGTTGGCTATCTCGATAAAAATACCTTGGTTATTTTTTGTAATAGGTATATCAATCAAGTTCAATGACTTAATATTTCGCACTCTATACAAATGCACAACTTTTATTAATCACAGAGAAAAAAAAAGACTTTCGAGAGCGGAATCGAAAGGTAGACGAAGAAATATTCTGTGAACTCACGGCTCTCTCATAAATCACAATAAAAACAAATTAGGAAATTTTTATCGGACGGAGCCAAAAAAGCCACCTTGTTTTTATTAGGCCTCGAAAAATGGTCGGCTAATTGAAATACTCGGAGGGGCAAGGGGAAAAAGGGAGAGGTGTTAAAAATTGTTCGCCAAAATTAATTGGCAGCAATAAATTGCTGGCTGTTGTCCGCCCACGTGACTCATTTTCAGTTGCTGGTACCTTATTTGATGTCCTTTTCGCTCTAAGGATAATGGGTGGAGAAAGTCCATGAATTTCAACACCCTTAAATTTAATTACCAGCTATTTTAAAAATAATTTTAAGAATAAATTCAAAAGTTTTTTTTATTTATTTTATTTTTTTATATTTATTTACGTTATTTTCTAATTATTCTTAATAATATTCTTAGATATTTTAAAAATATTTTGAATTTGAAAATCATGTTTTGTAATTCTTGGTTGCATTTTTACCTTTTATACTTTTTTTAGAATATTGAAAATATAGGACTTTAATCTAAAAAATATTTAAGATAATTATAAAATTATATTTAACAACCAAATTATGAAAATAATTAACTTTTTAAATATTCCCAAAAGTAATTACTGTTATACGGTGTTTAAGAGTGTTTGCCGCCCAGCTTTCAAATGTTTGTTGTCCTTCACACAAATCAGTATTCAATTATAAAAAAAAGTAAAAAGCATGAAGTGTAATGAGGGGAAAAGTGGAGGGGTAAGTGAGAAGAGGCCTTTCCAAAGGAAAGCAAGCGAAACACATTTTCTTAATTGTGTCAAAAGCGCAATTTTGTGCAATTTGTGTGAAATGAAAGCGAAAGTAAGGCCCGCAAAAGTACGTATATATATATGAAGGTAACGCAAAAGCTTACGCATCTAAAACTCACACCCACCAGTTGAAAAGGGAGGGCAGTACGGGCGATTCTCCCTCTCTTTTTTCCGGAGCAATTTGCTGGACAAATCTGCTTTCTTTTTTTATTATTGTAGTTGTGTTTTCCTTTACGGGCGCGGCAAACTTAAATTTCTCTCTTTCACTCGCTTTTTCTATATTGTTATTTTGATTGTGTTGCGGGGATTTTTCTTCTGTTTTTCTCTTTTTTTCGTTTTGTGCTAATGCGTTAGGTTCGTGAGGTTTTCTATTTCCGCACTTGTGTTTCACTTGAAATTCCACTGATTATTGTTGCGATCTGACAATATCCGTTTCCTCGTCGAATTTCTGGCTTTTCTTTGGCTCATTATACTATTATATACACTATTTAATGGCAAAATGCAGGGAAAAGCAAGGAAAATGCAACTGCAGCTGTCAGATGAAGTGTCACAACAAATCGGCAGCCGAAGGGAAAACCGAGCGCAAATCAGCTGACTCACGGTCCTAGGACAACAAATAAACCGTGGCGAAATACGAAGCACCAGCGGGAAAAATCGATGGCACACTGACTGAGGGAGCTCCGGCGAAAACCGAGAACCTGTCTCCGCGAGAGAGAGAGAAAAGTCCGAGAACCCCATCGTATCCATAGTATTTCGGAGGAGAGGCCCCGAGAACTCAGCCTGATAACAGCTGAGCGCCTGTGTTATGCTTTTGTTTATTACTTTTCGGTTTTTGGCAAGGGTTGTGGGCATTTCGGACCAAAAAATACCCTGCTCTAATAGGTGGGCATATGGAGAAAAAATATAAAATATTTATAAAACAATTATAAAAAGAAAAAGAAAGATATTCGGATATTATACCATGCATTGGGCGTGGTTTTATGTATTTTATATATTTAAAAAATATAGAGTTAACCAGAAGATTTTTTATTACTTTTATGAAAAAATGTATAATTAATTAAACTAAATAAAATATATAAATTAAAATTTATATATAAATTTGAAATTTTGAACATCTCCAGAGACATTGTAGCTTTTAATTTTATTAAGCCGGCAAAATTCTGTCAGAAATTTAAAAGTAATTTCCTTTGTTTCACCTTAAAAAATTCCAACTTACTAAATAAAATAAATCTATGAAAAAGCAAAGAAATATTTAAAATTAAATGGGAAAATGTGCACAAAAAACAAAAAAATTCTAAATAATTTGTTTTAAGTTTTTTCATTAGAAAACTAACAAATTTTCATTTTATTAAGTATAAAATTAACTTTAAATCGGAAAAACTCTGTAAAAACTTATAAAAAACGTAGATCTTTAGTTTTAACTGGCTTTACACAATTTTAGATCTTATTCCCCTTTGTTACGAGCAGCATCAGTCGCCCTCCATTAGTCACTTTGCTCGGTGATTTCAATTGCGATAGAGAGATACCCTTAATTGTAGCTCACATCTCGGTCAGGCAAATCGAATCCGGCGGCTCATTAGCATCGCCGGGAATTGGGGACTTAATTTCGGGGTTACGATATCGGGGCACGTCGCCATGAGTCATTGTCCGTGGACACAATCAACCGACTCGCAAATCGCACACGGATATACAACAGTGGAGCCCCCACAAATACAAATGCGACTGGTCCCCGGACAATTGCAATTGTGATTTTATGAGCTTTTCCGGGCAAGCTTCTGTGGGGGGCTTTGAGCATCGATAG